ATGCTCACTCAAGTCATTATTTAGTCAGTTATTTATTTCATTGACACTAAAGCATGCATGCACAATGTGGCACTGCAATCTTTGTGTGTTCTGTTGTTGCTTATTTAAATTGTTACAATAATTTACCAGAAACCAAGCTGTTGAATATTATAAACATCTGCATCAGACAGCATATGTTTATTGAAATAAATATATATGCAATTACGACATACAAGATGTGCCTTTAATAAATCTCACACTACTAAGGCAGCCGGCGGTTTCACCAGGGGCGTCAATCCCGGGGGGGGGGGTTTCGTCCCCCCCTAGCTTCAGATTGGACCCCCCTAAGTCGTTTAGAATAATAAAAATAAATGTTAAAATAATTAATTTTTTGATAATAAATCAGTAAAATCAGGCAAAAATAAGAATTAAATAATATAACCCTACCCTAACCCTAAAACCGAAATAAAGTAACCAAAAACCAAAAATAAACTAACAAAATCCGCCATTATCCGGCCAATTTTCGCGCACATTTTCGGAGCACACAATTTCGACCGCCACGACGACTCAGAAGGTGCCCTTTTTTTCTCTTGAGCACCTGCCCCTATAAATGTCTGTGCACGCCACTGCAGTCTATAGCTTTCCATGTGCACCGTCCTCATGCTAAAATATAAGCCATTCACACCTGTGGTTTAAGGCCACGTTTACACGGAGAAGGAACGGGTTGTATCCGCCACAGTTCTCTATCGTATGGACGGTTCATCCACACGAGGCCGTAACACAGGGGTGGGGAACCTTTTTCCTCTCAAGGGCCATTTCAATTTTTTCAACATCCTCCGAGGGCTGAACAAATTATTTACCGCTGCTTAAAAAATGCACATGCTGTGCAAAGAAAATGCAACCTCTTAATCCAGATACCTTACCATGACTCGTGCATGCATGCACGTGCACGGTTGTGGCATGACCACCAAAACAGAAAGATATGGGCACAAGATGTGTGCAATTTAGTTTCCTATCCATGTGGACGTGATTTAAGTGGGGGGTGAACCTAACCTCTTCTAGGGGGGTCCGGGGGGCATGCTCCCCCGGGATTTTTTTTTTTAAATGTTGAAGTTAAAAGCATCAATCTGGTGCACTTTGAGAGAAAAATTATGAGATCTATGGATACATCTCTCAACACCCATATGAAACAGAACTGTAAACAGATTTTTCTTTATGGATATTTTACCAATCACTTAAACTGTATTCTTGTTTTGTCATATAGTATTTCATAACTGTTTTTCATTTATTCTCTCTGGCTGTCCATCTCATAAT